GTGTCCACATGTGTTGAGCAGCGACATCTACAACAGCTTCCGGTGTGGCAGTCTCAGCGGTCGATAGCAGGACCAGGGTCCACATCAGGGGTAAAATGCAGCCTTGTGGTGGTCTTACAATCATGACTTTCGTGAAATTTCTTAATTTAATGAGAAATGGGCCTCTACTAAAGCATGTGATACTGCGTTTACGGAGGCAGCTGAGTTTTAGCCAGATCAGCTGCTGTTACCTAATTCAGTATCAGACCTCTTCATACTGAAATCAAATAAAATATCCTGGGCAAAAAGGATCAGAACAAATGCTACCGTATATAAAAGATTCACCAGCTGACTGTAAGATTTTCCGCCAAACACACGGAGCTCCCGTAATTTTTAAAACGCTATAAAAAAGCTTGCAAATCTGCCTGACTTTGCTCTTCGTCACCTTTGACTGACTTTATTGCATCCAAAAAGTCACTAATTCTGAGAGCCAAGTGTTCAAGGGGATCTGTGTATCAAAGCGTTAAAAAGTTTTACACAGAAAAATGATTATTTTGGACGGTGTGGAGTGTAAAAGGGTGAGGATAAGGCCGAAATCACGTAAATGTTTGGACAATGGACGACTCGTGACTAGTTCGGCAACACGATGCAATGCATTTTTCTTGCGGTTGATCAAATCAGTCTTGTATTTGCTCGACAGACATATGGCACGTGCCTATATGTTTGCGGTGCCGGCAAGATTAAAAGAGCTTATCGCCATTAGCGGGTACAAATCGCGTATCTTACGAAATGCTCATTACACTTTATTATAGGTAATCTGATGAGGTGGTTCACAAGCAGCAAATTATATGTCATTAGCAAATAACAAAATTTAAGCCATAATTTGAGATTTCAATTTATTAGTCATGCGCTAATGTAACTTTTATTGCAAATAAACGAAGATGAGGATACTGTACAAAAAACTGCATTCGACCTTGCAATTTAGATGGTAAAAGCTTAGCATTATAACAAAGTGTTATATGTATGTTGACAAAACGAGCGATACAAAAGATTATAGATGGCGTGAATACTCTTTGTGAACACGATTCGAGTCCCTTTGTAACGGGGCAGTTGCTGTAATCAGGCGACTGGTCCCTTACACATTTAGTACAATTGTTTTGAATACGATACGACGAAAATCACGATGCCCTTGTAATAATTGCGTAATATTTATTTTGATATTTATGAAGATTACAGAATTTCGTTAACGTCGGTCTAAGGCTGCTAGCGCACGTAGGAAGATTAATTATGAGAAATGCTTGGGGATGTGGAAGTGATAGACTACGAGTCTGACACTCCTTTTCCCGGATGGAATGACGAGGAAGGCGAGCCGCATCAGCGGCGTGAGGCGAGCCCTGCTCGCGCCTTTCGGATTCCATGTCCTACTCCTGACCTCTCGTCACCCGAGGAACGTGGTGTAATCACCAATAACCTCGATGAGGCACAAAAGCGGCAGTTGCCGCCATAAGGCGGCTCTAATTCGCGCCAATCCACAATCGGTGATTGACCCTCGTGTGGAATATGGCTTCCGCCCGGCGGTTCCCGCTGTGGAAGCGAAGGACGTGGTAACTCGATCGTTACGCCTCCACATTCCCGGCTATTACGGAAGATGAGCTTGCCAAACGGAAAGCTCTTCGAGCTCGTTTCTTTCGTTGGAAGCTTATCGCACTCGTCTGCGGTGCTCAACGAGGTACACGCAAATATATACCTGTAGTGCTCACTCCTGGTGAAAGCGCTACAGATAACGAAGCGCTCTTTGAGCGATGGGTGCAATGGCACCGCAAACTTTCCTCACTATATGCCTAACA